ACTGAGCATTAAGCTCAGCCGAGATTTTCTTGTCCTCGGCAGGTACATGACTTAGCAGGGATTTTGGGATGAGAGTTACGGAGATGACAATATTGAAGATAACTCATTAAGTCACATTTTTGTTAAACTTTTGATGACTAATGTAGACATGCTGTATTTTGGGACCGTATTTTGAGATACGTTATCTCCGTTTGTGGTTATGTAATTATCTTTTGGTAAATTTTAATTAGCCGCTCTGTTTTATATAGCATGCTGGTTTTATTCCAATTGTGACATCACCTGTCTTTGACCACGCGGGACGGGGGTGTTACACTACAGGTAGCCCGGAGTCACCACATTTGAACTTCCGTGACTACAAGGGGATTTTTATTTCTTCTTGGATTCGACTTGGGATATCCATGCACTTTTGACCTTTGGAGTCAAAACTCAAACCAATCGGGTACCACCGTTGTGGTTGGAACTCTTTTATTAATACACATATGTACACCTTCTGAACTTTCAGAAAAATGCCACGAGATCTCCGGCCCCTTCATACTTGTCATATTTCACATGTTTATCCTTGTTTTGTCTCTTAATTTCATTTAGATACGAGCTTTACACTCCAATAAAGTGATACTTGCGTTTTCAATCGTTTTTCTTTCAAATGTTACACGAAAACAAGTTCAGTTTCTTAACGGGGGAATTCATGGTCGTTTATTTGTTTGTTTAATTGGGTTTTCGACCATTGGAAATCAGATCAAATGCAAACCAGATCAAGTAGGATATTGGGTGATGTAATCAGTATGTGATGTATATGAGTTACAAGATAAACAAACCAAACAAGATACTGATAACAAATATAAGTCATGGGACAAGTAATATATAACAAATCCTGACCCCATATCCTTTTGATCGTCATCTCTACTCTTACAGAACATATTTTTATAAATATAGAAGAAAAAATCTTGTTATGAACGAGGTTCGGTCGGTTATTACAGTGGACGTTTAAAACCGTTACAAAAAGCCGCTACAAATGACATGTTGAACTCAAAAAGACATTTTGACGTCACAACCCTATCCACAACTACTTTGTATCGTGTTATACTTCTCTTATTTTCTCGTTCACGTAATATTTCTTAAACACTCAGTATTGAATAAATATCAGTACATTTTTATTGACATTGAATCATGTAATCATTGTGTATTCTTAGTAAGGGTACATCAGTTTATATCATATAATATTTTATGAAACAATTACATACAATTTGGTATATTTAGGATTGATAAATCAATAATATGGCTGATAGTTGCACCACAAATATAGAAATATAAGATTAAAATTAAACGAGTGGGTACTTTTATTCAGTTATTGGTTTGTATATATACTTGTTGTACCAAACTGTCAAATTCCGTAACTGATCTGTAATGTGAATGCTAAACAAATTCAAGATTTTAAACAATCAAGATAACAAGGGGGCAAAAAAATTTATCCTTCCACAACTTGCGAAACCACTTCAGATGTTCAATAATCATATTTGACTGATGACAAATTACGTAAAGACATCATAATATCACGAATTTCTACTACAAGTGTATAAATTATACTGATTTGTTGAAGTTATATTCATATATTTAACATAATAATAACTAGACAAACTAAGGCCTTGTTTGTTTGTTTTTTTTTTATTATAAAAAAGCTCTTATTAGTCTCTTATGTCTGATTCATTAAGAGATAAGGTCATTCAGACTGTTTGTTTTTTTCAATTTTTCAGAGGCATTTATGTCATATTGTCATCTTATATGGTAAGAGGTAAACCAACCTCTTATTTGCTTCTTATTGTTCTTCAAACCCTCAACAACGATATTTCTCAATCGATCCTTACCCAATCAATCCTCACATCTCACAATTGATGTATTTTAATATGGTTTAAATGTGCTAAATACTGTTCATGACATGCTCTCGTTTAAATGAATGCAAATTATATGATTTAGATGTAAATTTTGTAATGATGATGAATAAATATGTGAAATTGTATAAATTTATTTATAACTTCAACACTATAATTTTTTAATGGGTAAGATAGACAATTTAAACAAAATTCAGACGTTTATCAATTTACAAAAACAAACAGTCTTATTGATTCATATTTTAGACTTCAGCACCACCTCTTATAAATCAAAAGTGAAATAAGATTTCAGACTTCATCACCTCTTAAAAAACGCACGCCACTTAAATCAACAACATGTTGATATAGTACCAAATGATCTTTGGCATATCGGTATTGTAGCCTTTGACCTCCTAAGAGGTCAGAGGTTCAAACCTCACCAAAAATGAGTAGGATGTTTGAGTTTATTTGTTGCATTTACGGTATATAAATATTATATACTAAAAAAAAACATGTTGATATGGTTGTTTACTTGTCAACTGCAAAGTTGTGATAGATGGATAAGAGCTTATATGGACTTACAACATAACATACAATATGTACGTTTGTGCATAAAATCATCCAATCCAATTATAACTGACCGATCATGATTGGATTAGATCAGATCCAAAGATTCAACATCCAAATTGGATCGATCAGTTATTTGATGGTAGTCCAACATCAAATAAAACCGAATCGATCCAGTCCAATGACCCTCTAATTTCCCGTCCAATTATCATCAGACTAATAATTAATTAATAACTATATATAATTATTAACATTTTATGATATTGTTTCTTAATAACTTAATAAAAATATATGAATAATTGGTTGAAAATGGATCAACATTTGGACGAATCCAATTTGATCCCGTGGATAACCAATATTAACATCCAATGGAAGAAACCGATCCAGTCCGATCATCCATTTTATTGGATCGGACTGAATCAGATAACAAAAAAAATCCAACATTCAATGAATGATTGAATCAAATCAGATCCACCTAAATTCGTTGGTTTTCAACTGATAAACACCCCTAACAGTATCTATGAGATAATTATTGACATTCCCATGAAGTAACTAAAAAGATAAGGGCATGTTCGTGATCTTGAGAAATATTGCTTTCTATCGGTATTTTTTAAATTACCAAATGATTTAAAATGTCTTCGTGTATTTGTTTAATCGATTTTTACAAGTACTTTTTTTTATGAACGGACATTCATTAAACTTTGAGGGGTGCTTTAGATATTAGAAAATGTAAAAAACATCAATCAAAAAACCGAAAAAGCCCCTTCTCGAAATCAATCAAAAAACTTTAAAAAAAAATCCCTCGAAACCAAATAAAAACTTACAAGATTTCTTGAAACAATGGAATTTGGCTGAAAACACATTGGATGAATTTACGGACCTTTATTTCAGCTTAAAATTCTAGGTCCGACCCTTGTTTGTGAATTTCCTAAAGTAGCCCTATAAATGTGAAACCAAAATAAATGAATCAATCTCAAATAGAGATGGTCAAATGGCCCCGGCCCGGCTTGTGATTGGCGGAGGACCAGGACCGACTTAGGATCGGCCTGGCTTGGGACCGATTATGACTGGTTTGGGACCGACGGTTAAGAACCGGTTATGGTTTTCATCCAAAAAGAAAGCCCAGCCCGGAACGTCCTGATTTTTTTTTCTTCAAAAAAAGTATTTTTTTTAATGTATTTTTAAATGTATTTCTAGCTTTCTAAGTGTATTTGATTGAAAATCAAATTACAAATTTACAATAAAACATATTTTTTTAGTGTATTTGATTGAAAACAAAATATAAAACTATAATAAAACGTATTTTTTAAGTGTATTTGATTGAAAACTAATTATAAAACTACAATAAAACATATTTTTTAAGTGTATTTGATTGACATAATTAGATATTTTAAAACGTATTAGAATAACATTAAAGTATTTTTAAAATTTTATCAATTTTTTTAAATATAAAAGGAAATCTTCTTTTAACATAGGACCGGTTTGAACTCGGTACGGGACCGGTTACAAGTACCCTTAACCAGATCTTGGTATTTTTTACACTGGTCTCATTCCGGATTGTTACTGTTTCAGCCCAGAACTTATTTAGGCCTGACCCGAGACCAATTTTTGACCATGTCTAATTTCAAATAAGTGTCATCAATTTAATTTTAATTCTCATGATTAACAAATAATTAGTTTTTTCTTTAACATAAAAGAATAATTTTTTTAAAGGACATGACTTCACAAGGATATTTTTGGCAATTATAAATATTTGATATGAATTTTCCTATTAATACCAAATTTTAAACAAAAAGTAGCATACAATTTCATATTTAAAATAAGAGAATATAGAAATAGGATTTATAAGGTAAATTCCCAAATTAGCCTTCATGATGTAATCTTATTATGGGCATGGGGAGAAATCAAAACCAAATATCTTGAAGGAAATGTATAAATAATATGCACTTAATTATACGACCTATACATACATACATACATACATACAAATATATATATATATATATATATATATATAATTCCATTGATATTAGGGTTTATTTGTGTTAGTCAAATGGATTTCCATCCATGGGTTATAATGGTAATAGCGTTGATTTCCTTTAAAATATTTTTCTTGTTTAATAATGCGTTAAGAAATACAGGTTTTAACGAAAATTATACTGTAACTTTGGGAAACCAACATGTTTTGTTTCTTAATCAAGGAAGGGAAGTACAGTTGTCGTTGGATCGCTCCTCAGGTTATTTTTTCTTATAAATTATACGTTTCTTTGAAGGGATAATCAACGCTTTTCTTTCTTTTTTTTGTTTAAATTTGATAGTTTTATTATTTTTTGTTAGGACTGAGAAATCAGTATTAATTGTATTTGTCTTGAAAGATTAGTTTTAGTCTATAATTGTAAAGTCAGCGTGTTTGACTTTCTTAGACTAGTTTGACTTTGACTTTGTTAGTTAGGTTGACCATATAAATATGGTTTAATCTTTGTAATTAGGTGAGGAGAGCTAATTGTAACATACATTGATAATAGAAGGTTTGACTGAATTGAGAGGATTGACTTTTCCTCTCAATATTCATATGAGTTCATAGTGTTCTTAGATGATTATCTTGAATCTGCCATGATTGATTATGAAGATTATGAAGATTGATCAGTGATTGTGGACACACAATTGGTATCAGAGCTGGAATGCAAGAAATCAGAGGAAGAGTATGAAGATAAGTGAATTTTTTATGGATTTTTTTTTGAATTTTTGTGTTCTTCGTGTTCTTGAGTTTTTCTTCGTTTTTGATCCGATTTTCTCAATAAAATCTTGTGTTTTGATGTTAAAAACATGATCAATATGTTCGAAATTGAATTGTGAATATTTGTTATTCACAAATTTTTACGATTTGATCAATTTTAATCAAGATTTAATTGAGTTTTTAGGTTTTAAATTTTTTCGTGTTCTTGAATTTTTTTTTCGTAAATCAGTGTTTTGATCCATTTTTTTTAATTTTCATTTAGTTTTTGTGTTTTTATTAGTTTTAATCTGAATTTTTAGTTTGTATTTGTTTTTAAAATTGTTAAACCGCCCAATGTTTAAAGCCCATCTTCAAGGCCCATTTCCTTCATTTTTGTTCATCTTCTTCATTGTATGCCCATCATATTGAAGAAATCAGATCAAGCAGTGTTCAAGTAAACCGCCCATTCAAGCGGTGTTCGTCTAAACCGTGAGTAACTTGAGCGGAGATGAGCGGAGAAGAGTCTGCATCGAGCGGAGGGGTAAACCTATCAACTATTGCCTTGATATATTGAGCGGTATTATCTCAAATCAGGTAAGTCTAGGTTTTTAATTTTGAGCGGTTTAGGTTTAACATTGAGCGGACTTGACCGGTTTAAGCTTTAGTATTGAGCGGTTTAGGACTTATTGTACATCTAAGAGGTTTGAGCGGACTTCTAATCCGCTTGATTTCATTTACCCAGATTCCTATCATTTTCTGTTTTTGATCCAAATTGAATGTACATCATTTCTTGATTCGATCTGGTTTAATAAAATTGTTTTGTTCTTGCTCGAGTTCTTCAAGAATTTAACAGACATCAAAGTAATGAAGTTCAGATTCCTATTATGTCTTCTAGCACGTCAAGTGATCCATCTTTTCATTTAATACCAAAAGACATGGAAGCGACACATGGGAACGCGGATGAGATTCATCCAGTAACAACTGTTGCAAGCAGCTCCACTTCTGATTCCCGCATAGAACTGCGCAGTCAAGATTCCCATCAAGGTCCTGCAAACTACATTTTGAAACAACTATTTTAGCAGCAGGACTCAAGTGTCACAGGAAAAGGAGCAGAAGAGAAGGGTTGTGATATGAATTCTTCTACACAACAGCAGCAGCAACAGTGAACTGCAGGCTATGAACAGCAGCAACTTCAAAGCATGTAGCAGACGTAACCGGAACAGTAGGAGCAATTTCACAGCAGCTTTACAGCAGTACAGTTTAAAACAGCAACTAGCAGCTGCGTTGGTGTCGAAAAGATTCAATACAGTAATTCCAGTGTCCAAGAAGCAATTCAGATGTAAAGGATTTAACTGACAAGTTCCACAAGACTGAGAATGAGCTGAATGAGTTAAGGAGATTATTGCCATTAGAAAAGGAAAAGGTTTCACAAGTTGAAAAGATTTTAAGTGATGAAAGGCAAGAGATGGAAATAGAAAAGAAGAGGATAATTGAAGTTGAAAGAAAGTTTGGAGCTGAACGAGACTCTTACGAGAAGAAGATTAACTCTCTCGAGCTGAACGCCAAGAAGCTTCTAAAGCAAATCTCGGATTTTGAGCAGCTTATTGTGTTGGAAAGAGAGAAACATGCTAAAGAAAAGACAGACATCTCCGAAGAATGTCAGAGCCAGCTCCAGNATAGATATTATCATCTTCATTATTTTAATTTTAGAGAAATACATGAAACAATTTCATTAATGTTAACGAAATACATGAAACAGTTTCATTAAGTATTATATGAAACAATTTCACAACCACATATGAAACAACTTCATCAAAAAAAGTATTATATGAAACAATTTCACAAGATTAAACAATTTCATGAATTTTTTTTCTAAGATTAAACAATGAAATCGACAGATGAAGGTAGTTTGCACGGTTTACACAAATGAAGACGGTTTTCATATGATCACTCATCTCTCTCTCTCTCTCTCTATATATATATATATATATATATATATATATAGGTGAAGGATCATGTGAGAAAGGAAGTTATAGTGAGAAGCGTAAGAAGGGATCACCTTTAATCTCAAACCCACCATGAATTGCGCTTGGTACAAGGATTAATTTGGTGCATCTGATCTTAGTGCATCTCATCCTAATGTGCATTCAACGGTGGAGATCCCTTATTACGTTTCTTACTTTAACTCTTCTCACTAGAACCCAATCCTGTATATATAATTGTGTGTGTGTGTATATATATATATATGAGCTTAATCATTTAAGAACTCTAAAATTTATGAGATTCGTAAGAACTTCTACCTTAAGGTTTTGTTCACATGATCTTTTTCCCGTCTAAATATAATATTTAATGTATTGATTAACATATATTTGTTTCACGATGTGTTTGTTTCATATGTATTCGGTTCATAGTGTTAAATTCTTTTATGTGTATTTTTTGTTTTACAAACACGTAAAAAATGTTGACACTGTGAACCGAGTACATGTCAAGCAAACACATTATGAAACAAATATATATTACTCTATATTCTCTCTCTCTCTCTCTCTCTCTCTATATATATATATATATATATATATATATAACATGTACTTGTTAATACATTTATAGGTGCCGGATTCCAGTCAAAAGAATATTTTGGATCTGGATACTTTCAAATGAGGATTAAGTTACCCGACAAGGATTCTGCTGGAGTTGTGACTGCTTTTTATGTATCCAAAATACTCTAAACATGTTTGTTAATAGTTATTTTTATATTTATTTTTTCTATAAACCATTATAAAAAAAACCAGCACAAACGTAATAAGGTTTAGTAAAATTAATATTTGATAGGTGGATCAGATGGCAACTGGTTTGCCATAAGACCCAATCTGAGAACGAAAATGATCTTTTACAATCAGGATTTATGGAACCGTTTTTTTAACCAATAAGTTCTAACAATAAACTTGATTATAGGATCTAAACTATGTTCTTTTTGTTAACTTTATGTAACATTTGATGCAGTTGTATTCAAATGCGAACGTACACGATGAGTTAGATTTCGAGTTCTTGGGCAATAGACTGGGCAAACCAATCGCTTTACAAACAAACATATTCTTAAATGGCGTTGGTGGTAGAGAGCAAAAAACCGATCTTTGGTTTGATCCCGTTTCAGATTTCCACTACTACAAACTCTTATGGAACCGACACCAAATTGTGTACGCACTTATTTCTCTTATTTAAAAAAAACCCTATATAGATACGGTCCATCTACCCTTAGTGGCAAATGGTAAATGTATGGTTTACAGCTCTGCATACATCATACCTCTTCTAGATTCTTCTTTTAGATAAAACTCCAGGTATACGTTTAATTCAGTTCAGATTAAATTACACCTAACATTAATTATTATTTTTTCAGGTTTTTTGTAGATGACATACCCATAAGGGTATTCAAGAACAACATAAAGAAAGGTGTCGGGTACCCTACACAGACCATGCAAGTGATGGTAAGCTTATGGGATGGATCTGATTGGGCCACAGATGGAGGGCGATCCAAGGCTAATTATTCTAATGTGCCATTTCAAGCCCATTTTCGAGATTTCAACATTGACGGGTGCCCTTCGATACCCACTAACCCTAATAAGGAATGTCATTCCACAAAGTACTGGTGGAACGGCAAAAAATACAACCACTTAAACCCAAATCAACTCAAAGCTTACGAGAATGTGAGAAAAAAGTATATGACTTATGACTACTGTGCTGATAGAAGAAGATACCCTACCCCTCCCCCAGAGTGTATTAGGTGAGGGGTAATTTAGTATTTTCATCAATAACGTGACTATTGTGCTTATCTACCAATAGTATATTGGATGACCGGTAATTTGGTAATTTCATTAGTAATGTGACTTGACATGGATACTTACCCTGCCACACTCTAGATTACCTTGGATAAGGGGTAGTTTGGTAATTTCATTAGTAATATGGGTTAGATAATACATTTTAACGGTCATCTTCGACTCTAGCAATAAACTTTAAGACCTTTGTATTGTACTTCATTTCCTAAGAGTCGATATAATACTGAGTAGTATTTTGAAATTTTCTAGAATAATTGAGAAAAAAAATTATCGTCTAAAGATGAGGTGACAAATATATAAGAGATAAGGATCCCCGACCTCATATATCTTTCGGTTATCATTTCCAATCCTGTTTGGATATCATCCACTGAAATGTAAAACCTTCAAAAGATACCGATGTCATTTATACTACATATTGGGTAAAATGACCATTTTACCCTTCAATTTAATTTTGCTAAGTTATAAAAAGTTAAAGTCGTTTTTTTCTAAAAAAAAATAAACTTAATTAAACCTTAATCTTAAATTGTTGATTTAATAGCTACGTGAAAAGATTTAGTATCATATAACGTACAACACAAGTCGTATTTATCAAAATAACAACCATTGCAAAATGACTGCATTTGTATTTAGAGATGGCCAAATGGGCCCGGCCCAGTCCGGGATCGGTTTGGGACCGTCGGTTAAGGACTGGTTATGGTTTTCATCCAAAAACAAGGCCCTGCCTGATTTTTTTTTCAAAAAAAAAAAGTATTTTTATATGTATTTTAAATGTATTTATAGCTTTCTAAATGTATTTGATTGAAAATCAAATTACACATTTACAATAAAACATATTTTTTAATTGTATTTGATTGAAAACCAATTATAAAACTACAATAAATCGTATTTGATTGACCTAATTAGATACTTTAAAGTGTATTAGAATAACATTAAAGTATTTTTTAAAATGCATCAAAATAAAAAAAAATGTTTTTATAATATTGGACCAGTTTGGGCCTAGCCTGGGACCGGTTACAAGTACC